CCTTTAATCCCAGCACTCGGGAGGCAGAGGCAGGCGAATCTCTGTGAGTTCGAGGCCAGCCTGGACTACCAAGTGAGTTCCAGGAAAGGCGCAAAGCTACACAGAGAAACCCTGTCTCGAAAAACCAAAAAAATAAAAAATAAAAAATAAAAATAAAAATAAAAAATAAAAAATATGCATGTTTTGCCTATATGTATATATGTATGTGCACCATGTGCATACAGTGCTCACAGAGGCCAGCAGAGGGTGTTGGATCCCCTGGAACTAGAATTGAGGTTGTCAGGCACTATGTGGGTGCTGGGAATGAACCCACACCCTCTACAAGAGCAGCAAATGCTCTTAACCCCTGAGCTATCTCTCCAATCCCTTGAAACAGTTTTTAAATTTTGAATCAGGATTTTCCAGAAGCTTTAAATGTGGTATGTTGATATATCTCTTGAGTTAAAGAAAAATGTTACTTTATTCAACTACAGAGTCTTTACTAGATTTTTTTTTTTCAAATATGGATTCCTTCATATATTTTTCCCTCATGGAAGGAGCTAAGATTAATAGCATTAGAAAGTTATGGAATCATTTATTTTATTTTATTTTTTTTAAATCTTTCAATTCACATTGGTAAGGCATGTCCATGTGCACAAGGTCACACTAGAGAGCAGCAGGGTGGGATCTGGGCTTGTTGTCAACTCAACTGCTAACAAGTAGACACTAAACTACTTTCCTCTTGCTAGCCTCTGATCCCTATAAAACCCCACCACGAGTCCACAGTGACCAGCTCAGGAAACAATTAATGTAAACAACAAATTTTGCATTAGACTCTCTCCCTATCAACCTTTTGCTTCCTGGGCCAATAGCTTCCACCTAGACTCCTGTTTCTTGGCCTTACTCCTATCCAGAGACAGCATTGTTGATGGATGTTTCCATCCTACAAGCCTGCTCCCAAATAACCACAGAAACTTAATATTAATTACAAATGATCAGCCAATAGCTCAGGCTTGTTACTACCTAACTCCTGCATTTATGTTAACCCATATTTCTTATCTATGTTTTGGCTTGGTTGCTGTGGG